CCTTTGAATTTTCATGGTCGCTCGATTTCGTTTTTCCTCGTATTTTCTTTCATTTGTTGGTTCTTTAGCTGCATTGAAATTGAAACCCGCGTTACAAAGCTTATAACGGTTATAGTAACAAAATGTATTATAGCAACTCTTTGCATTCTCCTAATCTTACGAAAGTGTTGCTTTAAATATTTATTCTCATAGTCGCTTCGTTCCTTCTCTCAACATTTTTCTTATTTTTTAAATTTTCTAACGACCTAATTCTACAACAAAGTTACTCTTAAATTTTCATGGTCACTCGATTCCTTTCTCTCACCTTCTCTTATCTCTTATTTCTCATCCTCCCTTAAACTGAAACACATCTCACAAAGTACCCATTCTAACCATTCGAATATTACAGCACAACTCTGCTATCACTCTCCTAATCATACAAGAAAGTCACTTTTGAACCTCCATGATCGCTCAATTTCTTTGTTCCTTGTCTTCCCTTTATTTTCTAATTTTTCTAATGGTCCCATCTCGCGACAGAGTGGTTCCCGAATTTTCACGATCACTCCATTCCCGTCTTCGTCACTCTTTTTTATTCTTTCGTTTTCCATACGCGCTGAAATTGAAACACATGTTACGGGGCACCAGTTATAGCAGTTGCAAAATTTCCATGTAAGCATGGCGGAAATTACCGGATAAAGGTCGGTTTCGTTCCATCCGGGGCACGAATTCATTCGGACGGTCGTTCCATTTCTATGCGAGAACAACGATATTAAATGTCGGTATCATTGGGTATAATAAGCCCTGGCCAATGGCGGGCGAAGGGGGTGGCGGAGGGCCGAACGGTGATAACTATGTTTTTTAATAAAGCGACTACGTTCCTCGCGCCGCTCCTTATAAGGCTCCATCGAATTTGTTTCCGCCTCGAACTGAATAAAAATTCACTGCTAACGTTTGCAAACAAGATGAAGGGAATTAGGGCGCGCGTACATTCCCCGAATACACTGTGTTCGCTAATGTTATTATATTATAATCTTCTGTTTTAATAATATTAGTTCGAGCAGCTCTCCGCGTCGCTTGCTGTGGACTAGGCCAATATTGATATTAAAATGAACAGTTGACGGTGGATTAATCTAATCATCTCTAAAATAAATATTGACGGCGGCTCTTTGAGAAAAAAGGCGTGTCGTTGAATTTTCTTCGCATCCCTGTTTTAATGGAATTGGGACGTGTTGTGTGCAGATGTGAATCCGATACCGAGGTGAAGTGGTCTTTTTAAATTGATACGTTTCGGTATTCTTTTCGTCGAAAATTAGGAGTCGTGGTGTGTAAAAGGAACTTTTGGTGTATTATTTTGTTGAAATAGTAGTTATTACGAATAGTTTAATAAGTGTGTCCTTTTAGTCTTGGACCCGTATAGACGATAGTTTTGAACATGTCCCATCATTTGTACTTTTGAATCCAAGATCGAAACTTAATTTCACCGCTTCAATAAATATGATTACCCATACAAAATTTGTAATGTCTTTCCATCATTCCACTTCTAATCCAAAGTTAAATCAGAACTATAAATTGTCACTTCCAAATATTCCATTTTCAAGCGGAAAGAGACATTATTTTATTCTACAATTATAAAATTTCCAATTTATTCGACAAAAAACCAAAACCACTAACAAGGGAAGTTACCAAACCCAGAGATTCAAAAAATTATGCAGCTTCACGTAAGTAGAGTAAGTCAAGCCTAATACATTCCAATTCTTTTCGTGTCGAATTTCACTTTGAAGGTGTAAAACCACCGCTTGAAAAAAATGCATTCTTTCCCATGGATTGCCTTGAGCACGGTAAGAGATAACAAAAAAAATGTTTAAACAAAAAATACGTTATTCTTTCACGCTTGCAAAATTGCAAAATAAAATGTTTCAAAAGAGGTGGTGGGGGTATTTAGAAAAATTTTACTTTTCAATTCTACACGCGAAAGAACAATGTACTTGTTTTGAACATTGTTTCCGCTATCTCTTACTGTTCTGAAGATAATCCTCGAAAAATAAAAATTCGCATTTTTCCAGGGGGTAGTTCCACGCTTTCGTGAAATTCGGCAGGAAAAAGATTGCAACGTATTAGGCTCGACTTCCTATCTTCACACATAGAGTTTCATAATTTTTTAAACTTCCCTTTAAGTTGTGTTCAGTATAGAAAAGATACCTGACCTAGTCGAAGTTTTCACCCGGGTCAAAGCAAACGAGCTTCCCCGTATTGGAAACAACCGGTTACGGCATAATGAAAGAGCGCAGCAATAGCGCGAGACGCTAACGAGATTACAGCGCGGCGAAGGAACGTATGTTCACGCGTGTAAACGATAATCTTGCCGTTTCGGTTGCACGTAAAAGCGTAATTAAATTTACACCGTCCTCCTCGGTCTCGTTAAAGCGGAAAATTTGGAATTTTTGGAATTGCTTTGCACATTGTAGCCATAGTCTCCGCACTGGTTACCGCCGGCAGCGTTAGGGTAACGCATAAGGAAATTGTGTTCACTGCCGAGGATGTGAAATCTAATACGACAAGGGACGGTTTTTTTTTCTGGCCAAACATCGTGACGAAACGGGACGTGGGATGTCAAATCAAGAAGAGTGCATGCGAATTTAGTGGAATAGGTTGCTCAAAGTCGTTGCTATTGAGGAAATAACTCTCCCTTAAGGTTTTGCGAGCTCTTTGGCTTTTTTTTGAGCACAATTACTAAAGTGCACCTTCTTTATATTTTACAATTTTTCAGTAAAAATTATTGAATTCTTCATGAAATCAGTAACAAATATTATGAAAAATATAATACTTTAAATATTTTATATACTTTTTCATATCGTGTATACTTTGTGCAATCCAGTACCTTCAATTTTTTTGTAAACCTATAAAAATCTGCATCCTAATTAGTCATGCAGATCTTCACTATTACAAGATAATATTTCATATGAGAGACATCATTATCTCACCAAAGGATCCGTCACGAACGCGTAATGAGTAAAAAGTTCTTCTCACGAAATTAAACACTTTTTGGTTTCCTCGATCTTTGTTCAGAAATTACTTTTGTTCCCTTTTCCTTTGTCAATTTAGAACGCGACCGTGCACTGCCGTAAATTGTAAAACCTTTGCCACTTTTTTCACATTACGAACCATAACACGTTTCACCTCTTGTTATAGTTAGCATGACGATTGGCACAATTGCCAGACGCAATATCAGGCAATAATGGCGTGCACCGAGCGATGATCTTTTCGCGAACACGAAACAAAAGACTTTCTTTTTTATGCAAAGTCTGTTCAGAGTGAAAATGTGCTTTCCCGCACAATGGCGTGTTTCCTTTAAATCAGTTCGCCGTGAAATGTGAGTTGTACTTGATATGTTTATATACCAATGAGTAGTTTAAAATACTTGTTTTCTTAGCAAATTTGCCAGTTAATTATAATACAATTATAACGTAATTTCTGCCAAACATTCGTAGATTCGTAGTAAGACCAAATTATGTTTACATAAGCAAAATATTTGCACCAATTATTTAAAAAATGTATCACACTAATAATAAACAATTTTCATTGCATAAAATGGAAGAGTTTCTGTATCATCAAATTGTGTATATTACATATATATATATAACATAATATATATTTTCGTCTGCAAAAGCAAGCACATATAATAGAAACGATATAAATTAAAAAAAGTTTTGCACAAATTTCTATAAATATTTCTATGAAAATTTCTGTAGAAGTATTCATAAAAATTTATATGAAAATTTCTATAAAAATATCTATAAAAATTTGCGTAAAAATAACCACATATATATGCAAGTACAAACATTTGAAAAGGTATATTGAAAACTTAGTGAAGAAAGCAGCATGTATAATAACATAATACATATTTTCGTCTCCAAAAGCACACACATATTCATAGAAACGATATAAATTAAAAAAGATTTTGCACAAATTTCTATAAATATTTCTATGAAAATTTCTAGAAGTATTTATAAAAATTTATATGAAAATTTCAATAAAAATATCTATAAAAATTTGCATAACCACATAAACGTCTACAGAAGTTTCTCTAAAAACTCGTATAAATTTCTAAAATCTATAACACAATCCACTTCTGTAGCAGACTGGCAAACAAAAAGAGGACGTCGAACGAGCAAAGGGGACGCCGAAAATGTCCGTGCACCCTGCATCCTACTCGGAAGAATTTGATACGTCAGCGGTCGATGAATTTTCATAGGGGAAACTTACCCTGTAACCCCCCAAATGTTTGACCAGACACGTAAAAGTTGCGTCCCTTCCGAGCGGCACCGTTAGATTCGTGATAGGGCCGGCGAATTCGGGTGGGAAGGCACCGCCTGAAACAAATACCCATGCACGTGAAAAACTGCCACGATTTGCATATCTTGCGCGCAGCAATTTTGCGATATGACATTCATTTACTAAACGGGACGCACTGGGTACGGAACGGCCGTGTAAGTGGACGAAAGGGGCAGTACGTTTTTACCGTTCCTCTTCTCCTTTTTTTATTTTGAGACAGCGATAATCCGTTGCAATACAGATTGTCGGAGAACCGATTATGTGGATTCAAGTGCTTACAGAGAATTTATCGTGCTACCCGTGTTTCCATTATTGTCGATGTAACGGTGAATGATGCGAAATAATGAGTATAATTTGAAAAATGTCGGAATTGCGAAATAGTAAGTAAACAATTTAATACATGAAATGAATCGTGTAACTGTACCGCGTTAAACTATTTGCAAATATAAACTGTTTTCTGTATGTGTTACAAAGGGAAGATGTGTGGTGTCAGCACAGTATAGTATACAATACAGTAGTCTAATTATTATGTAATTTGTTTTAGGTAAAACAAAATTATCTTAATTTTTGAAAAGTGAAGAAGTATAAAAAGAACGCGTTATTTAAGAGATACCTGAATATTACTTATAATAGTTATTACTATTAAAAATGGTAACTGTAATATCAAATAGTAATATTAACAAATAAACAGTAATTACTAATATCAATAATAAAAGTAATATTAATATTAATATTGTCAATATTACTGTTTATTAATATTATAATACTTAATAATAGGATTATATTATAATTACATCTATCATACATTATTTTAACGTTCCTAGATAAGTATATATCTCTTCACAACTCTATTAATTAATATTAGTAATATTAATATTGTCAATATTACTGTTTATTAATATCATAATACTTAATAATAGGATTATATTATAATTACATCTATCATACATTATTTTAACGTTCTTAGATAAACAGATATCTCTTCACAACTCTATTAATTAATATTGGTAATATTAATATTACTGTTATTATAATTAATAATATATTTACACCTGTCGTATTTTAACATTCTTAAACAAATGGATACACAACCTTATTAACTAATTAAGATGACACAGAAAGACATAGAAAGCGAGCGAGTAATACGGTTCCCATCAGAAGCTACGTTTACAATTTCTTTGTAACCGGAGAGCTCCGTTACAGACGGTACGCAAAATAGATAGGGGGAACATAATACTCGAGGATCGATACGTTACTGCGTTGTTCACAGCTAGAATAACATTCGAGCGAGCGTATTATATTCTCTTGTTAATGCCGCTGCCGAATTATTCTCATACTTGTCGCGATCCGGTGTTCGCCGTTTCCTCTCGGCGGAGTATAAAGGGTCGCGCCGCGCGGCGCAGACGTTTTCGAATATTTTTCATGCAGAAACGATGACGCCGCCTGCCACCCTCGCTGCGCAGCATTTATTCGTGCGGATACATTAACCTCGCCCCCTCCCCTCCCCGTTGCGCGGTGAATAATTTTTGTGATCGCAACCCTGTTGTTCGCATCGGTTGTCCCTCGGCTGAAAAATCTGTGTAAGTTTTTTTCCCCGGCGAACCCGTCTCGCGAAAGGGCCGCTGACAATAGAAAATGTCAATGTTACGGCGATCGTGCCTGTCCGCGCGATGCGATTCATTTTGCGCGGGATGCTCTTCAAGTGGCACAATTAGGGGAGTGGTTTATTTGGGAGAACCGAATTTTTGCTGCATTCCTAATGTATTTTTAACTTACCTTTCATTTGATAGAATTGAATTTGCGTTGTATTTCTAATGTATTCGTGATTTGCTTTTCACTTGGAGAATTCGAATTTGTATTGTATTTCTAATGTATTCGTACTTTGCTGTTTATTTGGAAGAATTGAATTTGCATTGTATTTTTAATGCATTTGACTTGTGAATTTCCAATTGAGTCGAAATAAGTATAGATGAAATACGTTTGCTTTGCATTTTTTGTAAATATTAACTTCTGTGTGTTGTGCAAATGTTTAAATGTGTTATGAACGATTGAAGAAATATACTGTGCTTTGTTTATTCTTTTAAATAAGTAAATATTTCTAAGTATTATACATTATATATATATTTTTTTAAGAAATATGTAATATTAAAATTTTGAAATTAAATGGTTAATAAAGGTGAATATATATAGTTAATTAGTAATTATTAATAGTTAATAAATAATTAAACACACTTATTTTTAAATACGGACAGACATAATTCTTAGGGATGCTTAACATAAAGAAGCAGATGACTTAAAAGCAAAATATGATAATTATCTTCGAAACAGAATTTTCTGTAAACAAATTTATTCCAAAACTTACACTAATTTTTTTAACTTTCGTATAAATTCACTTCACTTCTTTTCTGTTAACGTTTCTAATTATTGCAAGCACGAAGATACGTAAGACAGGTCCATTCAAAAACGAAGCTTCGTCTGACTAGCATGTCTGCTCATAATTTACCCTTTCTACTTAAAAATACTAACCCGTGCTTGTCACACAAACGTTCGAAGTTAATTATCTCGGTAACAAGGTATTTTAGTGAAAGGCTCCATTATACGTTTCCAACTGATTTTTGTTATACGAACTTACTGTATTCCTTTCCTGACAACGTTTTTATTTGTTGTTAACATGAATACGTGTACGACAGATTTATTCAGAAACGAGGCATCGTGGAGAAAAATCGTGTCGCTCTACTTTTTCTACTTATTTTTTCGTATATATCCACTCTTTTCCGGATTGCACCGAATTTACATGAAATGCTTGTTTCTTTACATTACATTGTGAATGGGACTTCATTTTTCTTTAATATTTCTTCTCATTATAGCGGTCTAAAAACGCTAATTATAATACACGTATAACCATATGAAACGAACCAATAAAGTAAAAGTTAATGTCGGTGGCATAGGATAAATATACATACATTCTAAATGAAATGTTGTTAACAAGCTTCGATTCTTTCCAGAAGGACATCAGTTTTAATATACTCTTAATGACATGCAAGCTATAATTATGGAACTGCATCAGCTTGCATAAATATTCAATACTATATTGGAATTAATATTTATCATCTAAAGTGCTAATAAATTGTCATAAAATATTTTAATATCTAAAGTAATAATAAATTACCATAAAACTCTTGAATATCTATAGTGATAATAAATTTGTGCACCTTTAATATGTGTCAGTTTTGGTGATTATTAAAAATTCAATACAAAATTACATACATATACATTGTAGAATACTAATGTTCTGAACAGTCAAAGGAATGTATTAATTATATTAATATATTAATCATATTAATATATAATATATTAATACATTGATCATATTAATGTAAAAAATATTAGTACATTAATCATATTAATATATAATATATTAGTAAATGAATCATACTAATATATAAAATATTAGTACATTAATCATATTAATATATAATATATTAGTACATTGATCATATTAATATATAATATATTAGTAAATTAATCATATTAATATATAAAATATTAGTACATTAATCATATTAATATATCTAAAACATAATTAAATAATATTAATATTATTCCGAACTTTTGTTTACGTTCAACGTTATTAAAAAAATACTCATTCACCCTTTATATACACCAACCCCCTGAAACGTGTCCGCAACAAGGCGCACTTTGTCGCATAACAGCGGATACTTTATAGATACCCACTTCATATATCAATAGATACACCGAATTTCACGTTTCATTCTCGTAATAAAGGTGTCCGAGGGTAACTTAACACAAAATAATAAAGGAGACGTGTTCATATAGTGTCTGTAATATCAAACGCCTTCCCTTCCACACAAATTAAATAGTACTCCATTAGTTCTAACCGCTCTTCATTATAATCTATATGGATGAAATTTCATGTTTCACGTGATTCTACATAATCTTATCGAATATTCGGTGTCTATATCAAGGATACTATGCATCGCAATATATAAGGCGGCTTTAAAACTCTCTTCGCACGTACAATTTCAAAGTTTATCATTTTTTGCTTCACTTCTTTACTTCACGTTCCAGTGAACATAACATTGATATTTCAAATGTTTTTAACTCTTTTATTCTATTCCTTCAATACACAGTGACTCGCGGTGAAAGAATAACGTTTATATATCAAATAACTTTAAAAAATTGTCACAACCCAGGGAGAACATTCTATTTAAAAGAGAAAATGTCTAAAATTACCTTTTTCATTATTCTCGTATAAAAATATTACAGTTTTGAGAAAATATATTAATATCAATAATACGTCTCAACAAAACAAAATTTCTCAGTTTACGTTTTGTATTCTTCTAATAAAATAATTAGTTTCGAGGAAACATAAACACTATTTTCTTTTTTATATTAAATACTTACGTTTTCAAAACTGTAATCATATCTTTTTAAAGAAAAATCAAGATAACCCAAAAAATTTTTGTGACACCAGTGAGTACTATTTAATAATCTTTTTAATGTCAAATAATGTTTACTGATTACTTATGAATTACTAATTACTTACTACTAATTTTCGTAACTAACGTTTACTAATCACTCATGAATCCCAAATTACTCACTATTAAATTTCGCAACTAATCCTCGCTAATAACTTATTAATCACTAATTTATACAGAATAAAAATCCCCGCAGACATATTTAGACACTCCCACGTAAGCGCGGGTCCTCGATTATCACGAGTAATAAACTTCTCCGTCGTTGTCGCCAGCGCGAACGATTAATTCTATCGAATTCATTGATCAATCGCGTCGTCTCGCAGCGACGTGTATCAACAATAATCTAATACGAGCGTCGAAAACGTTGCGAGAGTATCGCTCGGGGGCTCGTCCATCGA